TTTTGGGTGTACTTCTTTAGATTAATTAGATAATAGTATATTATGTATCAGGTTTGATAAACGCCATTTTAAACACGGATTTAATTTAGGCACGAGCGAGCTTGCGAGCGAGTGCTTAATTAAACGAGTGTATAGAAAAGTTTATAAACGAGTTGTATACTATACTACTTATTATTATCTAAAAACGATTTAAATTAAATATTTGTATAGAGCGACATTTATAAAACAATACAGTATAAATTATAAATTAAACATTGTATTATTAATTTAATAAAATAAATGGGAAAAATGATGATTTTTTACACAGAAAAAAATATCGTACCTGATATTAATGTCCTACGATCATTAAGTGCAAAATCATTACGATAATGTCCTTTTCATAGTATTAATGCAATCAAGTAATTATGATAATGCTTAAAAAATATGAGTTAATGTATTATTGGATTGTCACAATGTCTGCCTGGTCATTATCCTAGTGCAAGAATTTTATTATTTTTTAGCCAATATACATTAAGACAATGATATTTTACATTAATACGATGATTATTTACATTAAATCAATAACCTAGAGTACATTAGTTAATCATTGCTCAGTGATAAAATTAATGTCAAGGCTTAATAGAGTAATACTCTAAATGGTATAATTTAATAATCTAAAATTATTACATTAATGCCTATATATACATCAACTTATGTACCCTTAGCAAAATATAATGCCCTAACATATTAAATAATACAACAAATCATAACTTTATCGCCAAATACGTTGAGCCAATGTCTAAATACATTAATATTAGGCTCTGTTGTTTCCCACCACCTAAAAGTGCAAGAAGAAAACAATTTAACAACAGTTTAGTATTCCTGTTAATCCTGTTGCGACGTGCTTGCCCGCCCATCCCGATTGTTGTGCGTTTAGGTTTATTATTATATGAAATATAAATTAGAATGTAAGTAAGACAATGTTAAAAAGTTAAGGTTTATTTATGTTTCATAATTTTTTTCTAATAAATATAAGGATTTTAAATTACCAAGGGTTTTTATTATTTTTTTATATTAATCTTTAGTTTCATAATATTTACAAAAAGGACTAGAAATATGTAAAGTTACAGTTCCAGTTTTGCGGTGGCCCGGACATAAACCCTGTAGAAAATCTTTGGAAATTTCTGTAAAGGGAACTGGCTAAAGAGAACATCACCACATAAGTAATATTAATAGTAATAATTATTAATAATTTTTTTTACATATTTCTAGCTCTTTTTGTTAACTGATCAACAAAAAAATTGATTTAATGTTAAAACTTAAGGTAAGTGTAATAATTTATATATATATATATATATATATATATATATATATATACATATACATATACATATACAGGGTATCTCAAAAGTTAAGGACAGCAGAAAAGGGGTGGATAGAGGATGGGGTTCTAAGTCGAATGGTCTTTGCCGTTTTTCAATCGACTTATACAGGGTATCTCAAAAGTTAAGGACAGCAGAAAAGGGGTGGATAGAGGATGGGATTCTAAGTCAAATGGTCTTTGCCGTTTTTCAATCGACTTAAAATTCTATCCTCTATCCATCCCTTTTCTGCTGTCCTTGACTTTTGAGATACCCCGTATATATATATATCGAAATTTTTCCATCCCTTATTTCAGGCCTACTATTAATGCTTCTTTGCATTATGATAATGCTAACAGATCATTAATTAATGTATACTAGGTGATTGGGATAATGTTCTTTAATTGTTAATTGATAAAAATTTATTAATTGGTTGATGTTTACTGGGCATAGAATTAATGTACTAGGTCATTAATCAATGTCAATGGTCATTAATATCAGTACTTTTATTTGAGATCTTCCTGATTAAAATCAATGTCCGCCAAGCATTAATATTACGTCCTTGTACATTGAGTAATACTTTAAAAGCATTGTGTTAATGATTTTGAGCATCGGAGCAAAATTAATGTAAAAAAACATTGCCTTAATGTTTTTTTTTATTAATATTACGTACGTTTTTCGTTGTGTGTATGATAAATCATTTAGATGACCTTTGGCCACGCGCAGGTCAATGTGGCTTTAATATGATGGCTGGCCAGCTCATTACGTACGGGGTGTAAGAAATTATTTGGATCAGGTTTATCCAGAGAAAGTTCCATTTTGTGGCCTCTTTGGTCTCCGGATTCAAATTCTCTTGATTTTTTCTACGGGGGTTGCATGAAGAACAAAGTCTATGGAACAGTAATTCATAACGTAAATGAATTAAGACTCCGAATTATTGAAGCCGCACAACAAATAAATGGCGCAGGAAGTGCAAGACGGATAAAACGATCTTTTTTAAAAAGATGCCGCGCTTGCATTCGACTTGATGGCAGGCAATTTGAACACCATCTTTGATTTTTATTTATGATTCGTCAAGTTAACGTGTTACATTTTGTTTACAGTTTGAACGGTCAAAGTTAGTTAATAAAAAAAATTATAAAATCGGGCAAAAATGTTCGGATTTCAAAAGGTAAAAAACTACTATTAATTTTATTTTGTAATAACAGCCGGCCTATTCAGGGTTGCGTAACGTAAAATAGAATCTTAGAATATGAAATTTTGTAACTGTGGCATTCGAAAAACTGATCTAAGGTGTCAAGTTTCACAAAATTTATAAAAATGCCAATATCCCAAAAACTAACGATTTTTTACTAAGGTCATGTTTTATTTTATATTTAGCATTTTCAAAAGTTTTATTTGGTGACGACTAATGTCTTGTAAAAATTTTCTCCAATCTTACACATATAAAAAATTGATGAACCCGGCAAAACCTTTGAAAAAGTTTGGATTTTATTAAAACCAACCCTACGTGATTGAAACGTTTGCTTCGTCCCTGTCTGTTGCACCGTGCTCTCGAGAGGTTTCTAAGCGCAGCGTGCGGCGATAAACAATATTATTATCATTAACCCAAGGGCGAGCACAAAAAAGTTAAAACGTTTTCTGAATGCTTATTAAGAATTAAGACTTCTCAGTACTTGAAAATTCAAATTCCGTGTGGAGAACATGGCAAATTTGGCATTAAAAAAATTATACAAATTAGCAACAATGATGAAAAGCACGATAATGAGAAGGTTTTTGCTAATTGCATTTATTTATCATATATATATATATATATATATATAAATATATATATATATAAATATATATATATATATATATATATTAGGGTGGTCGTTATGTCGGGTAAAAAAAATTGTTAACCCGGCCGCCCCTGAAATTAAATCAAAATAGAAAAAAAAGAAATTTCACTAAAAATTTAATTATTTAATTAAAAATGATAAAGTTATTTTTAATTTTATATTTATTATAAATAATAATAATTGTTATTATTAAAATAACGGAAGAAATATTAATCAAATTATGCATACAATACTATACAGGGTGATCCAAATTAAGGGCTCACCTTTGCTAACTTATTATTATTATGGTGTCGGTAAAATTAGCAAACAATCAGTATTTTTTTGCTGTTTGCGAAGGTAAAACGATAAAAATAATTAAATCATAGACTTTGCAGATATTCAAAATATCAAAATTTAGAATAAAAATGCTTACTTAATTTTGATCACTCTGTAATTGAAAAATTAAAATGGTTTTAATATTGTTTCTTTTTTTGCACCAAAGTATTTACAGTATTCAGAGATGAGCTGAAGAGCACACTGTTTTTGGTCTTCATCTTCGTTATTAATTGATTAAATTTAAGTAAGTAAATAAATGAACCCCCCTTTCCACAACATCATTTACAACTTTGAGATTTTTTACGATTTTTTATGCATTCCGAACGGAACAAAGAAATTTCGTGTTGGAGACGTTACAAAATCATCCATTTCTTTTTTTACAGAAAATAACCATATCTTTGTATTTTAGTTCAATCCTTTTAGGATTCACACTTTTTATATCTTCAGATTGGTTTGATTCCATTACTGATTCATCGAAAAATGCCATCGCAACTGAATTTTGATGAATCAGTATCACTGAATACGAAACGATGCATGGTAACGGAAAGAAAAAATACTGATTGTTTGATAATTTGACCGACATCATAGGATCAACAATAACGAAGTAAGCAATGTTGCGCCCTTAATTTGGATTACCCTGTATATGCATAATTTGATTAATATTTCTAATTATAAAATTAACAATAATTATTATTATTTATATGAAATTAAAAATTATTTTTTAACTTTTATAAATAAATAATTAAATTATTAGTAAAAAGTGGTTCACAGGGGTAATCTAGGATAGACCTATAGGGCTGAAATTTCGCACATTTTTTTTCCTATTTTGATTCAATTTAAGGGGCGGCCCGGTTAAAATTTTGTTTTACCCGACATAACGACCACCCTAATATATATATATATATATATATATATATATATAAAATTTTACTCTTTTAATTTTTTATAAAAGTCATAACTTTTTCCAATTCTGATCATGATATTTTCGAACCATGTTTAAACTCAAAGTTTTGCCGCGTAAAAGTAAAACTTAACTTATCTTAGATTAAGAGTAATTTTAAACCTTAAACATTATCAAACTAAAGCAAAAGAAAAATCATTAAGATACTTAATTTAAATCAATATTTATTTTGTGGAAAAAAACTTAACCAAAATTGTATTAATTAATTATAATAGGCACTTCTATTTACTTATTTAAAATTAACAAATACTTTTTACTATGTTTTAATTAATATTTAAAAATAATAACCAAGTTTCGGTCCGATTTTTAAAAAATATATGGTTTAATAAACAACAAATTACTGGACCTGCATGACTATCAAGTCCTATTTAATATATTTATACATATATAGGTAGGTACATATAGGTAATGTCGAGGGTAATGTATTCATACATTCATAATATAAGTATTATATATAGATTAAATGTATTTTGAAATATTTATTATGTTTAAATATTTGTAAAACAGGTACTTGAGAACCAAATTTAAATATTAGGTACTTACAATAAACCCAATTAACGTCTAGGAAACAGTATCCAATACACACTTTATTATAACAAGTAACAATATGACACTTAATAAAACTATTTAGATTTTCCATTCCCGCTCATTCTAAATTGATTAAATACTGTTCGTATTCGTTTTGAATGACTTTGTAAGACTGATCTTGGGACGTTCAAGTCACCCACTAGTGGTAGGATGGTGGGTTCCAGTGGGCCATGATTCGCCAACCGGTGTTCTGCCTCCACATTGCTGCTAAAGGTCCCCCACCATTTTCTTTATGCTAAGATTGCAAAAGAAATTAATTCTAAAAACCAGTACAAAGCAGGGGCGCGTGACGTAAACTGACCCTTTAAGAACAGTCCAATTTACCTATTTAGTTATTTTAGATTTAATTAAATAAAAAAATATTTAATTAGGTTCAGTTACATTTAGTTTGTACTCTTTTGCGAGGGGCTGTTTCCTATGGACAATTTACATTATAAAGTTTGTATCTATTATACCACTTTACAAAGTAAAAATTTATATGATTCACACCTGAAATGTGCCTTTCCCAGTGGCGGCTTTACTAAAGCCGCTTTAGGCAGGTTCTTTAATAAGCAAAAAAAGTACTTAATAATTGTTTAGGGTAGTTAAACAATTTTTTGTTTCATATTAAATTCTCTTTCAAAATATGTAAAAATATGCAGCGTATTTCATTAAAAAAATGGTATTTTTGTGAATATTTCGTTTAATTGTTTTTTGTTTTCACTATTTTAATCATAAGAAAAAATATCACCATTTTGTTAATTTAACCGACTTTGTAGCTCTAATAATAACAAATTTAAACTAATTAGTTAAAGTTTAAACTATAATAATTATAATTATTAGCACATATTAATAGAATTCTGAGCAGATAACTTTGGACATGCTGTACTTAGATATATAAAATATATATATACTACGTATATAAACCTATTTATTTTTATACTAGGGGTCTAATATCAAACAGTCCAGTTAAAATAATTAAATAAACTTTATATTTCTGCACATATTACTAGGTACCTACCGACATATCTTTTTTTTAAGGCAATACTAATAATAGGATATTTTTATAATTTTTAAAAATTACCTGTAGTACAGGTCCTGTACCTTATACACTTCGCGTCAAATTTAACGCACCACTAAAAGTTTGTCACATTTTCAAAGTTGATTTTCTCGCGAACCGTCAAACCGAATTTAGTGATTTTTATAATAAATTGTAGGTTTATTCTTCGGTAATAATGCGTTTATTAAAATATTTTTTTAAATTAACATTTTGAGTATATACAGGGTGCAAGAGTGATATAAAGTTTTTTCCCGGAAATTTAAAACGCCCTGTGGATTGTACCAGCTATAACAGCATATGTATCTTATAATCAAACTATAGCCACATCTTCTCTTAACATTTTGTTTTTTGATTCACCGCGATATCTTTATTAACCGAAATTTGAAACGCCCTGTTGGTTGTACCAGCTATAACAGCATATGTCTCTTACAATCAAACTATAGCCCCATGTTCTATTAACATTTTGTATTTTTATTCACCGGGTTATCTTTATTTTTATATGAAATATACATGTAAAGATTAAGGTACCAAGTGTACGATATAGGACATTTTATTTGAGCATGTTGTCCCTTTCGCCCGGTAATAATTTTGAGTACTTACATGAGGTGGGTGTTAAAACTTTAGACTGGCCTGAAAATAGTCCGGATCTCAACACCATCGAGCATTTGTGGGATAATATGGGTAGACGACTAAGAAATCATGATTCCTTGCCTGCCTCCCTTGATAACGTAGCAAATATGCTACGAGAAATATGAAATGTCATTGATCAAGACGAGATTAGAAATCTGGTTTCGAGTGTAAGCCGATGTCGATGTGAAGCCGTAATTAGAAGTAGAGGCAGAAATATGCGATATTGATATTCTTTAATGTTGGTTTTATTGATTTTGTTAATATTTTTGTTGTTATTGTTACAATCGTTCTTTTTACATTTTTGTATTAAACTGGAGTTCTTTAATCTTTAACTGTATATTTCATTTAAAAATAAAGATATCGCGGTGAATCAAAAAACAAAATGTTAAGAGAAGATGTGGCTATAGTTTGATTATAAGATACATATGCTGTTATAGCTGGTACAATCCACAGGGCGTTTTAAATTTCCGGGAAAAAACTTTATATCACTCTTCCACCCTGTATATACTCAAAATGTTAATTTAAAAAAATATTTTAATAAACGCATTATTACCGAAGAATAAACCTACAATTTATTATAAAAATCACTAAATTCGGTTTGACGGTTCGCGAGAAAATCAACTTTGAAAATGTGACAAACTTTTAGTGGTGCGTTAAATTTGACGCGAAGTGTAGTTGCCATAATGGCGAGGCTCGTGAACCTTACTGCCGTGCCAAGCAAAGAGGCGTAAACTGCAATATTAAGTAATACAGGACAAAACTAATTTTATATTGTAATCAACAATACAAATTATCGTTTGTCCCTTATTACTTAATGTTGCAGTTACCGCCAGCGCCGGCGACAAAATTGGTGCTCGTATACGAGCCTATAGGCTCAAGCACTACACGCAAAGAAAAATGGTGGTTCTTAGCACCACATGTAGGTACCTATTTTTAGCAGAAAAATTGCATTTCGTTTGTGGTCTCTAAATTAATAATCCTGCTTGCTTGAGATTCACACACCAGCTCCCTTTACAAATTAGTGGTGAAGGCTTTGAAATTTGTATGCCTCAGCTTCACCGTGGAGCTAAGGCATACAAATTTCAAAGTCAATTTGTTAAAGTCGGTCGGTATGGTAGGAATATCCTAAACACGTGTTGGTGGTAGCACAGTACATTGGTGTTTACTACCACCAGTTGTTGTCATGTAAAATGTTATGTTTCGAATTTTTTGTAAATGTTGGGTAATTGTGTTAGTGAATAGATCAGTCAGGAATTACTTAAATAGTTAATTTTTACATAAGAGCCTGTCTTGTCACGGTCGACTTTTTATCGACAAAAATGTATACAGCCACGTTGGCAGTGGCCGATTTACACATTTCCCAAGTATATGCTGTTAAATTTTTGCTGCCCTATTACTACACGGAAAAAAATCCCTTACTAGGTTTAAGAATAGTTCTATACTTCATGTTAGGAACTTGATTTAAGTATATTTATTATTTCTATGAGATTAGCGTACATTTAAACTATAGTTACTTATAAGTAATGGGATATACTTAATTTTTAAGAAAAACTGTTACTTGATTTGAGATGAGTATTCTTGGATTGAGTTTAAAGGTATTTTATTTTAAAGAAAATTGGTATACTTAAATCAAATATACAATAATACTTAGATGAAAGACCTCTAGTTGTTTACTCAAAGCGGAATATTGCCACTTGATTTAAGTATTCTGTATATTTGTATGAAATTTCGGTATACTTTATTTAAATATATGTATATTTAATACAAGAACGCTTATACTTTAATTTAAGTATAAGACTAGAACAAAGAATACACTATACTGTATTTAAGTATAGCTATTATTAAAACAAATACCTTATTCTTCGCTTAAGTAAATACCGTCCACCCTCTAAGACCGCTTCGCTAAAAGAAAAGACGCAGTTTCTGTGTTCAGTTCTGTCCTGTGTTCTATGGTGGTAGCGTGTGTACGTGTCGGCACCGGCAGTTCGTTTTTTCCTTCTTCGGTCTGGATGTTAGTTTTAATAAAAAATAATGGAGAAGAAACTTAAAAATTGGGGCTTAGAATGTTTACTAGACACATTTTTGGGTAAGTAAATAATATTTCATTAATTTAAAGTAATTAACTAGGCATGATCGTAAAAATGTAGTGTAAAATGGATAGGTATACTGTAGTGTAAAATGGATAGCATACGACAGGTAATAGACAATAAAGCTATATTATTTTTGTTTTAGAAAACGAGATAGATATCGATATTATGGTAAACCTAAGCGAGGAGAATTTAAAGGAATTAATTCCAAAAATAGGATTGAGGATCAAGTGTAGAGAAAAAATTGAAGAATTAACACCAAACCATCTACGATGATAATGGTAGCCTTCTTAGAGACTCATTTTACATATTATTTAGCTGGAGATAAATTTTACTGACAATAAAAATACCTACTTAAAAAAATATTAACTATTGTGATTAAAAAACCTTACCTTTACATATAGCACCAAAAATGTGATACCTAGGTACTTAAAAAAATAAAATGTAAAATATAGTATCTATGTTAATTAACCGTGAAAGAATGAATTTATATAAATTGACAGTACTTTTTCTAATACCTCTAAGACTGTTAGGTAATAAACCTACTGTGATATCAGTGCCTATTATACTTAGTACTTTAGTACATTAAAATAATTAAAATAATATGCCAAAAATACTGTTAAATTACTGTCATAACGATTATATTTTCACTTTCACTTGTATTTTCCATAGTAGTAGAATAATTAATACAAATATTTTTCATGGTCACGAATGTTTTTTTTGTAAAAATTATTCCGAGTCGCTAGACGAGGGAATTTTTTTTCTAATCAACCACTTTCTTTAAGAATAGTGTAAAGTTATTTTAAATATATACTATACTTTTATCAAATATAAAAAAAGGAAAAGTAAGAATACAAGCATTTTATGCAAGTAAAGCGTGTACTTACAATAAGTATAAATAAATAAATTTTAAAGAAAGTATATTCTTAAATCAAGAATACTGTAAAGATTTTACAAAGAAACTATACTTTGATGAAGTACATACTAACGTTACAACAAGAATACCGTACTCTTCATTGAAGACAAATTTGTATACTTAACTCAAAATTAGTGTGTTTCTTATTTTTAGTATAGCAGTAATCTTAGATTAAACCGAAGCTATCTTTATTTTATAAGAATATGAGGATACTTGAAACAAGTATAAATTTACTTGCGGAATAGGGAAACTAAGCTATACTTGGATAGAGTTGAATTTTCTTGGAATCAGTATAGATTTTTTTCCGTGTATACTTAGCTATATAATACATTCTTAACTTAATAAATAATTTTAAAAGATAACCCAATGGGAAGTTTGGGCGGTACCCCAACAACAGTTTACAACTTTTATCAAATATAAAAAA